TATAAATGGAATCATATGTAGTGTATATTCCTTTGTGTCTATCTTTTTCCATAGAGCCTAGTAGTCTGTTCTCGCCCTCAGCATGGCTGTCTGCTCCTCCTGTCTTTTGCTCGTCCCTGGACTTGGACTGCCCATTCTCAGCATGGCTTCCTCGCCCAGCTCTTAGCTACACCTTCACAAAATGGTCCTGATAGGCCTTGATAGAGTGACCATATCAGATCAGCTTCCTGGGGCCTTTGAATCTTAGCATAGTATTGGGGGTGGGGCAGGGAGTGACACTGCCAAGAAGGCATTTCAAGCATTGCTAACTAAAACAGAGGATGAATTGTTTGGGGAGGAATGGGTCTTATTCAACATTTTTTCTACTCTAGCATCCAAAAAAAGCAAAACCTCTGAGCATCTATCCATTTATTTTGTTTTAACTTAGTAATATCTGACAAGTATAAAACTGAAAATCTAATACAAGTATACTTTGATAGTCAATTTAAAAGCACTAATAAACTGAAAAATGCATATACTGCTGGTAGAGTATAAATAAGTACAATTGCTTTGTAAAAGATGAGCATTTTGTTATAAAGTCAAACCCATACTTACCATACAACCCAGAATCCCACTCCTATATATTGATCCAGGAAAAGTGAAAATATATGTTCATATAAAGACCTGTAGATGAATGTTCCTAGTAGCATTATCCATAAGAGTCAAAAACTGAAATCAACTATAATGTCCATCAAATGAATAAATACTTTTAGACTATGCATAGACAAATAGGAAACTATTTAGACATAATACTACTTAGACATGAATAGGTAGAAACTATATGTGCAGCATGAATGGAATTCAGACTACTATGCTCCATGGAAAAAGATACATTTATATGACGGCCCAGCACTGGCAAAACTATAGAGATAGAAATTAGAGCAGTGGTCTCCAGAAGCTAGGGATGGAGTAGGAGATTGACTGCAAAGAGCAAATAGAACTGGGGGGGGGGGGGGGGGGGTATCATTATTGTGGTGTGTGTGATTACAGGACTTTATACATTTGCCAAAATTCATCAAACTGTACAATTTTTAAAAAATATATTTTTATTGATTTCAGAGAGGAAGGGTGAGAGAGAGAGAGAGGGAAAAAAAAAACATAAATGAGGAGAGTGAGTCATTGGTCAGCTGCCTCCTGCACACCCCCTACTGGGGATGAAGCCTGCAACTCAGGCCTGTGCCCTTGACCAGAATCGAACTTGGGACCCTCCAGTCTGCAGGCTGACGCTCTATCCACTGAACCAAACTGGCTAGGGCCAAACTGTACAATTTTTGAAGTTAATTTCATTATATATGTGTTACTCCTCAGTAAATTTAACTTTAAAAGTGTATTAAAAAAGAAAAATGTGTTTGAGATTTTTTGAATCTCAAGTCTGAAAAAAAAAATGTTTAAAAAAGAATTTATGCATCTTTATTAGGACAGGCACTCTGCTGGGATCTAGGAATACGGAGATGAAGGACTTCACGGAGCTTATAGTGCAGCAGAGGGGAGAGGGGAGACAAAGCCACTGCTCCGAGGAGTAAGTGCATTGGTGGAGATACGCACCGTGGGCTGCAGCCACAGTGGAGTGCCTACATTCAGTTTCTGAGAAGGATGATCTCCCAGAAATACTTGAGCTGAGCCAAGATACTGGCAGTCTTAGCCAGATAGGAGAGAAGGAAATCCTTACCTAAGGAAGTAAAAGGTACAAAAAGAGAGAGAGAAGGTTTTAATGGATCCGCTCTAGTTTTGAAAATGAATAATATAATGAATAGGAGAAATTTTAGACAATATGAGCCCTGGCCAGGTGGCTCAGTTGGTTCGAGTGTCACCCCATATACCAAAAGGTTGCAGGTTCAATTCCTAGACAGGACACATACCCAGCTTGTGAGAACCTGTATAAGGGGCAACCAATCTATGTTTCTTTCTCTTAAAATTAATTTTTAATAAAAGCATATCCTAAGGAGAGAATTAAAAACAAAACTTAGACACTGCATCAGAAAATGAATGCCATGGCAGTGAGACATATTAAAATGTGAGTTGTTCTTTCTAAGCAAGTATAGATGATCTTGATAATTCAGAAAACTGAATTCATAAATAAAAAGGACTGTTACATATAAGAACATGCATTCTTTGCTTTAGCATAGTGATTTATCAATTCTTTAGTGACTCAAAGATCAACACAGACTTTAGTGATCTGTTGCATTTCTAATATCTACTTCTTCACTACTTCATGTCCTAACTGTTTACTTCAATTTGTTTGAATAGCCTGACTTCAATTTTCTTCTTCCTATTTTTTTCACTTTTTAAAGAAATATTAAACGCGCAAAAATCTGGTTGTCTGCCATACTATGTCATTGTGGAACACACAGATATTATTTAGCATAATGGGTTCCTTCATAGTACAAAAGTCTCTTCCCAAAGATGCAACAAGAACAGTACAATCTGACCATCTAATAAAAGCATATACGTCGCCTCACAAAATAAGTACCTGCAAGTTACTCCATAATATTCCCATTTCTATTTCATTGGCCAGAACTTAGTCACATGGACATACCCAGCTGGAACGATGAGAAATGCAGTTTTTATTCCAAGCAGTCAAGGGCCAGCTGCTAGAGATGAAAAGAAGGGGAACTGTAGGGTAATCAGGAGTCCCTGAATCAAAGAAGAGATCCCTTATTCCTCAGAGTACTGGGGCCATAGAGATAAGGCATTTTCTAGTTAAAACATGAACTCTAGAATTTACTTATAAAAATTTTCTTCTGATTTGGAGGCATTTAAAAAAAGATTTTTTTTAAATCGAATATAACCCTGGAGCATTGCAGATTACTTTACAAAGTACTAAAGTCAGTTCCTGGCACAGAGTAAGTGCTAGATAAATACTGGCTTTTTGTCATGAAGCCATAAAACTTTATTGCGGCAAAAATGATAGTAATTGAATCTAATCTTCGCCCCCTCTCCCGAACTCTCACTGACAGTCTTGGTAAGCTAGTTAAAAATAAGGAAGTGAATTTGGTACAATAATGCTATACAAAAGCAAAAAGCATTTAATAATATGTAGAGTATCCCCCAAATATGTGTACACACACTGTGATTATAAAAGCAGTGTATATTAAAATACATTTCACTTTCAAAATTGAGCTATCAGCAGTTAAAATGTGTATACATTTTGGGGGGAACAACCTGCATTTCTAAAATGGGGGAAATGTCTTTGATAGAGGTGTGTTTTCTTTTAAAATAGTTTTTCCCATTAAATTCCACCTCTGAGGCCTTCCTTAAAGCTTCCAGGGCAGGTGGCTTATCAAAGGTGCCTCAGGGGCTCTGCCTCTAACAACTGCAGCTTTTTGTGTGAATTCTTTCTTCATTTGCAAAGGTTAATGTTTGTATTCCTGCACATGACAGTGCCAAAACTTTCCAAGCAAAAGTTCTATCTGTATATATGTTTATTTTCTAATTGTTGATCATTAATTTGTTATAACCTGGCACATCTTTTTTCTTTTTTTCTTTTCTTTTTTTTTTTTTAAACAAATTGGTTACATTCTTGATAACAACAACAACAACAAAAATTAGTTGCCTTTTTGGGGCACTTATCCAGTAGTCTTTCCAAAATTTGCACAGCAATATATCAACAAGAACTGGCTTTCTTTTATAAATTCAGGTTTTCATAACCAAGAATGTCACTAAAAACTGGGTGAGAAAATGCATTTAAAGTACAGCTTTCCGTGCACCTTTTGCTCTGAACCACATTTCAAGGATACTATTTTGTTGCATATGTACTGTTCTATTTTGGTAGACATATCCTGATGGCTAATTTTGCAAGACAGACCTGAAAACCTAGATAAGATTGTTGCTCTGTTATTTTATTTTATTAGAAAACATCCTGAGTAATTTCCATAGCATCAAAATACCCTGGGGAGAAAGAGTAATAACTACATGTTTCCATTAATTGCAATGTAATAACAAATAGATACTAGCGAGGACATTTCCATTGGATTTTATTTTTCTAGAAAATTAAATAGAAAACAGCATTGCAATTTACTTAGGAACAAACCGTTCTGAGAACTGAATTCATAACGAGGCCAAAGACTAATCACCTGAATTATTATACAAAGGAAACAAATTTGCCTCCAAACAACCTTAAAAAGGAATCAATCCAATAGAACTTGGACCACTTTAAGAAACGAATTTACCTTCTGGGCACTCTCAGCAAAAATAAAATCTTTCAAGTGTTTCCTTATCCACTAACAGGTGTAAAGCATTAGCAATGTTCCTGACATCTTTGTCTCACAGCTAAGCACAGTCTGAAATCAATAACTCGGGTTTTATTCCATCTCTTCTCCTTCCAAAGACCTCATTATCACAGGAAGTAGCTCCAAGGTCTCCTTCCAAGAATAATCCTTCTCTCAGTCTCCTTTCCAAGTCGCTTATTCTTTCCAAGGTTAGATTGGGACCTGTGGGCAAACTGGAAGCCAAATAACTTAATGCCACCTTCAAACCGCAATTTGTAAATATCTATTCAGCACACAGTGTCAGTGGTATGAAGCTGATGACCTAATAAAAACGCTATGCCCTTCAAAAGAAGTGGCACTGGATAGGACATAGCACTTTAACTTATTTGGAAGTGTTTCTTGAGTTGCGATTTTCTTCATCCCTTCATTTATTGGTGATGAAAAATATGTAACGAACATCACCAGAAATCAAATGCCATACACCTATTGCATGGTGTTTGCCAGGGCTTCCATACAAAATACTGCAGAATGGGTGACTGACATAACGGAAATTTATTTTCTCACTCACAGTTCTAATGGCTGGAAGCCCAAGATTGGAATGTTGAAGGTTTGGTTTCTTCGGAGGCCTCTCTCTTTGGCTTGCAGACAGCTGCCTTCCCACTATGTGCTCACATGGTTGTCTCTCTGTGTGTGCACCTAAGTGGTGTCGTTCTCTGTATCCTAATTTCCTCTTCTGTTCTGTTTTGTTTCTTTTCTTATAGCCATTTTCAGAGACCTTCATGACTTCCGAGTCTTTAAGGCTTGTCACATGGCTTGACTGTTGCCAGCTTTCTCTAAAATTTCTGCAGAAACACATTCAGGTCAGCAGACTCACTGGCTGGCTTCCAGTCTCCTCTTTTTATAAGGACACCAAGTATATTGGACTAGGGCCCATCCTAGGGACTCCACTATAATTTAATTAACTCCGTAAGGCCCTATTTCCAAAATTCGGTGACATTCTGAGGTGCTGGCAAGGAGATTGGTTACCAAATCCTAACAGTAACAACCTGACAAAGCATTTCATACTTCACTTTTGGATTCCAAATTATGTTCTTCTACACCAGAAAATTTGCAGAGACAGAAGGAACAAAAGACTCATTCACTAATTTACTTCTGGCTAACACAGTGTCCTGAGAAAGGGGGGGAGACACACCAGCAAAATAGCCCTTGCTTTTGTTAAGTGCTCATTCTCTCCTGAGCTTCCTTTGGGACTTTTGGAAGGTAACCTCTTGGGAGATACTCAAAAAGCTTTTTAGAAATGTTTTTATCATTCATTCCTTGGAAGCAGCATTATGTCATGTGCATCAGCTATGTCTGGGGCTCTAAATAACAGAAAATCTTTACTAAGAGGAATTTAAACAGCAAGCACATTTGTTATCTAGCAAGAAGTCCAGTGGCCGGCAGTTCCACGTCAGTGAGTTCAGCAGCAAAATGAAGATAGAACCCCATCTGTCCCCTCTGCAGAGTCCGGAGCTGGTTTCTGTCGTCTCCTGGTTGCAAGGTGGATGCCAAGCATCAGCCCCTCACACAAGTGCACTCAGAGGCTGGGAGGGAAGCCTTCATCCTCCGGTTGCTCTGCTCACCAAGGAGGAGAGCTTTGCCCGGATTGCCCTTCTACCTTCTGGTCCTCGAGGGCAGCAGACTATGTCATCTCAGATTTCAAGGCAAACCACCCCAAGGTAGGCTGCTTCCATGTGCCGATGTCTGAGCTGGATGCACATGAGAAGCAACAAATGCAGGGAGAGGCTTTTTCTGAATACGTCTTTTCTGTCAAAGACAGACCCTCCTAAAGGAATTCGATGATCATAAATCTCATCTGGGAGTTTCGTCACCAGGGAAGATTGGTTCTTGTCACAGGAGAAAAGACTAGAAGCCTTTAAGACACCATACCCAGGTAAAACTTGTCACAAACTATCCTACCTCCCATTTATTCTTCTAAGGGCCTGTTTATCTTTCTTAAAAATCATTTACTCTCCCCAAGAGGCCTACATCTCCCCTCCTTTTTTCCTGTTAGGGTGGTATTTTAAGCCTTAAATTCTAATCCACCTCAGGAAGCTAATAATTTTCCCCTGGGTATCTTCCATGTATACATAAGGTAAATTTATTAATAAACTTATTTGTTTTTCCCTGTTATTCTGCCTTTTATTGCAGAGATTTCAGACAAGGACTCAGAAGGGCAGAGGGAAAGTTATTCTTCCTCCCCTACAGTTCCAACTTCCCCTAACCATTCCCATTAATGGGAAATGACATTCATTCTCTCGCTTTTCATGCAAACACACAGCAGAGATGAACACGAGCTAGAGAGAAGTGCTTTCTAACTGTTGGCCTCACAAGGGCACAGCCACTTCAACAAAAATGTAATTTTTTTTTTATATTTTCCCAGAATTTTCATGAGGGAACTTGAGTTTATCCGCATCATTCTTTCCTTGTATTCTGTAATGTTCTCGTGCCATGTTTCAATGATCTATTCTTACATTTAAAAAAAAGTACTCCGCCCGGCTGGTGTGTCAGTTAGTTGAGCGTCATCCCATGAACCAGGAGATCATGGTTCAATTCCCAGTCAGGGCACGTGCCCCCGTTGCAGGCTCGATCCCCAGTAGGGAGTGTGCAGAAAGAAACCAATGGATGTTTCTATCTCTCTCTCTCCCTCTCCCTTTCTCTTCCTGAAATCAATAAAAACATAGTTTTTAAAAATTACCCCTAAACATGGCTTAAAACAATAATAGCTATTTCTTTTGCTCACTGATCTTGGGCTGCATGAACTCCACTGAGCAGTTCTCACTTGGAGAGTGTGCAGTGGCAGCCAGGCAGTAGCTGGGACTAGGTCACCCTGAAGGCTTCTTCACTCAGATCTGGCACCGGAGCTGGAACCACTTACACATCTGCAGGCCAGAACAGCTGGGGCTCCTTGGACATTTCCCTCTCTTTCTCTCTAGGAGGTCTCCCCGCTGGGTGACCTCAGGTGACTTTTTACATGGCAGCTGAGGCTTCATGAGCGAGTGTCCCACGAGAAACTGCGGGAAGCAATGTGGCCTTTTCCAGCCTCGCCTTGGAGGTCACACTGCATCTCTTCAGTCATATTGGTTCATCAAGGCAGCCACAGACCTCCCAGGTTCAGTGGGGGGGGGAACACAGACTCCAACTCTTGACATAGGAGTGTCAAAGAATTGGGGGATGTATTATTTCTACTGTTATCGTTGGAAGTATTACAGATGTCCCCTTTTGCTCCCCGGTTGACGGTGGATAGATTTTAAAGCACCACCTATCCCTTAAAGGTTGGCCCTCCTGTCATCCACTCAGCTGGACCAGCCTTTATTTACCTCTGGGTCCACAGAGCTTGCTTTCCATAGTTATCTGAACCTCCAGTCCCTCATCTCCCATCATTCTCCCTGCGGTAACTCCCACTCTCATTCCACAGGCCTCCTTCCCCAAGATGAACCGTTTACAGGGAGTAGCCATGACCTTTGTGAAAAAGGACCAGGACTTTCAGTGAAGGCCTAGTTATTTTGATAAAGCCAAAATCAATGCAGCTAAGACAAAGACTCTCATAACCAATGTTTCAAACCAATAAACGTATGAATCTTATTTTCTCTCACACATTTGAATCTCCAAAGGAGAAGGAAAATACAGATATCCAACTAGCAATGGAGCAGGTTGTCCTACAGAAACCTGGCTCAAGGCCGCCTGGCTATTAGATGTGTCCAATGGACAAGAGCAGAGAAACAAAAAGCAGGCGGGCCAGTGTGGAAGGCCTTTCTGAGCTGCCTGTTCTTTTATCCCTCTGAAGGTAGAGGATTGATTTTATATTGTTTTGTCCACATAGCAGAAAGGATGAGCATCTGGAATCTTCTCTCTCTCTCTCTCTCTCTCTCTCTCTCTCTCTCTACCCCCCCCTCTCCCCACTCCCACATCTGCTCCACTCCCCACCAAAGCCTCTCCACTCAGTATCAATCAAACTGACCAAATGAGAGCCTGGAGTAATGAGTATTCCTCAAAACAATTTCACACACAAAAATAAAGTTTCCAGCTTAACTATTTGGGAAGAAGGAGGACCTTATATATTTTATACATATTGGTAGAAGGAAAGGAATTCAATGGTGCTCAATTTAGGACACAGAGTCCACTATGTGGAAAGAAATTATTCAAGTTCCAAATATCTTTCAGTTTTAATTTATATTAAATTTATTTTGTGTTCACTAGTTTTGGTTTTGTTTTAAACAGGAAATGTTGAGGGAAATTTTAAGAAGTTATCTTTGTAAGTACACTTGAGAATACAAAACACAAGTTGTACAACTCGCTTTTTATAAAATGGAATGGAGATCTACCATAAAATATAAGTAAAATCTATGCTTATTCTGAATTTTATCATCATAAAATTGAGTTTCTATTTAACTCTGTGACTAAGATAAGGAAAGAGTTTTTAAAAAAAATTGTCTCACTATTTTTTAACATTTTTACTTGTAACCTTGATGTTATAAATATTTGTTTTTAGAAGCTGCATTTGTTGAAGTGTTGTAGGAAACTGTTCATGGCAAGTTGTAAACTCTGTTTTCCAAGGAAGGTTTATTTTATCCACCCACCTTGGACAACTGGTCCATTGATCTTTGACTTTGCAATCTAGTTATCAATAACAAACACACTATGTATAGGGTTTTTTTTTCTTAAGTTAGGAACATGATTGAAAGCATTCCTACTTATAAAAATTTTATTTACAAAAGAACATTAACAGACCAATTTTAAAACACAATGTAGAATCCCGATTTGCCATAACCATGGTCTGGACCATTTTATCAGGTGAGCCCGGGTGGAATCCCCTGCCGCTTTAATTTTATGACATTCAGCCTGGTAGAGGTCAAACTCTGAATAAGAAGCATGAGTGGAAGATGATTGGATGGCCAATCTCAAAAGAAAATAGTCTGGGAAAATGTTAGAAACATGATAGTAAAGGAAGAGAAATAATATAGGGAATTGTGAAAAAAATGTCACAATCCTATTTTGTGAGAATGTAACATTTACATCAACATTGAAACTGAAAACAAAGGAAATCCATAAGTATCTCATGAAGACTCTCAGTACCACCCATCAGATGATGCTCTCCACTTCCAACACGGAGCACTGTAGTTACAATGAAGTTCAAGTACACAGGGGTGAGGGTCATGCTCTAAGATAACAGACTTAATAACTTCTCAAATTGACAAAAGAAAATGGAAGGAGAAGCACTGTTTCAGCTTATAGGAGCCTTGGATATAACAAACAGATATACCCTGTTTCCCCGAAAATAAGACAGTGTCTTATATTAATTTTTGCTCCCAAAGATGTGCTAGGTCTTATTTTCAGGGGATGTCTTATTTTTCCATGAAGAAGAATACGGTACACATTTATTCTTAAATGAAAATAAAGGAAATTTATTACCTGTATACGGTACGGTAGTACGGTAGTTGTCAACACAAACCAGTATCAAGAATTTACTCATTTATTCAATGACAATCATGTCATCTTCTGGAACATCATCATAACAATCCAATTCCTGAATTTCCTGTTGAATTTCCTGTGACTCCATTTCTTTCAGAATCAGTGGACCAAATCTCTCACGTTTAGCCTAGGGGGACATTATTTTTTGGGGATGCCTTATATTTCACTCAGAAGGAAACCTGTAAGTAGGTCTTATTTTCGGAGGATGTCTTATTTTCAGGGAAACACGGTAGTATATGGTCTGTGATAAGAGCCTGACTTGAAAAAACAAAAACAAACAAACAAACAAAAACAGATATTTGGCGGAGGTTAGTTGAGGCAATTGAATATATGGCCAGTATATTGGGAAATAATGTGATAATGCTAGTATGTT